CCAAGAGGTGGTATATACATTCCTTCTATTACCAGGAGATGACATATACAATCCTCATATTACCAGGAGGTGGCATATACATTCCTTCTATTACCAGGAGGTGACATATACATTCCCCCTATTACCAGGAGGGTGGCATATACATTCCTTCTATTACCAGGAGGTGACATATACATTCCCCCTATTACCAGGAGGTGGCATAAACATTCCTCATATTACCAAGAGGAGACATATACAATCCTCCTATTACCAGGAGGTGGCATATACATTCCTCCTATTACCAGGAGGTGGTATATACATTCCTCCTATTACCAGGAGATGACATATACATTCCTCCTATTACCAGGAGGTGACATATACATTCCTCTTATTACCAGGAGGTGGCATATACATTCCTCCTATTACCAGGAGGTGGCATATACATTCCTCCTATTACCAGGAGGTGACATATACATTCCTTCTATTACCAGGAGGTGGCATTTACATTCCTCCTATTACCAGGAGGTGGCATATACATTCCTCCTATTACAAGGAGGAGACATATACTTTCCTCCTATTACCAGGAGGTGGCATATACATTCCACCTATTACCAGGAGGAGACATATACATTCCTCCTATTACCAAGAGGTGGTATATACATTCCTTCTATTACCAGGAGATGACATATACAATCCTCATATTACCAGGAGGTGGCATATACATTCCTTCTATTACCAGGAGGTGACATATACATTCCCTCTATTACCAGGAGGGTGGCATATACTTTCCTTCTATTACCAGGAGGTGACATATACATTCCCCCTATTACCAGGAGGTGGTATATACATTCCTCATATTACCAAGAGGAGACATATACAATCCTCCTATTACCAGGAGGTGGCATATACATTCCTCCTATTACCAGGAGATGACATATACATTCCTCCTATTACCAGGAGGTGGCATATACTTTCCTCCTATTACCAGGAGGTGACATTCATTCTTTCTATGACCAGGAGGTCGCATACACATTCCTCCTAATACCAGGAGGTGGCATATACATTCCTCCTATGTCCATGTCTTTGCCATCACACCACAAAAATGAAGCCACCTTTACAACGAACAAAGTTACAATGATATCGAAATACTCTTCTTCATATCTGTTACTTGGACAACATATTTACTTATTTTTTCTATAAATAAAGCACACACCAAGGAAATACGGACACTTTATATTCTTTTAATTCGCAGGAAGGCGACTGCCACCAGTGTACTTTGATTATGATTATGATTACACAAGTCACAAAGTCACCTTCATGTGAATGAACCCAAAAGGCGATTCCGAAATTTAACCCTCTCTGGCTAATCTCTGGCTTCTTCTCGACTGTCTGACACTGGCCGCTAGGGCTCACTAGCTGCCGCCATTCGATTTGCTCGCTAACGCAACTGAGCGTGACAAGAGACTGGGCTACCGTCTGCAAGGACAGCTAAATCAACTCGGAGGCAATATTTGTTTTACGCATTTTTGAACACTGCTTGGGTACCCGTGATCTATGAAGATTTCGACAAAGGGCGCATGCTAATTTATTTCATCAGCCTAAACAAAAAGACAAAAAGCAACGGCGGAAGCTCAACGGATGTCATTTTTTTGTTCGAAATACCCCTGATGGTTATGGGTTAATAATAATAGTATCCCTGCAATGAAAGCATTTTCGGATTTCGGATTGCGTGGATAATACGATTACTACTCCCTTGTTGTCATCCATGTTATCTGGGATAACCCTACACCTGTGTACTTGTCGTCATTCACTTGACTTACTTACTTACTTACTTACTTACTTACTTACTTACTTACTTACTTACTTACTTACTTACTTACTTATTACTTACTTACTTACTTACTTACTTACTTACTTACTTACTTACTTACTTACTTACTTACTTTGGAGATTTAACGTGCGCTTTCCGACTGATGCGTATTTCGCACACGGGCCCGGCCAGGCCATTTAATGTGTTTCCGAAAGGGGCGAAAGTGGTGTGTGCAACCCTAGAGGGGGCTTTAGGGGTTGCTTATATAGAATTTGGGAATTTTGAGATTTGGAATAGATGCCGATGGGGTAGGGGAGGAGAACTAAGGGAGCTGGGTATGGTGGATGTTTGTGTGTTTATGTAATTTTGATTTGGTGGATTATAGTGTTTTTAGATGCGTTTTATTAGTTCCGTTTTGATTAAGAATACGCCTAAGGCCTTGAAGTTTTCTAGTTTATTTTGTGGGTTTAGTATTGCTTCTAGAGTGAGAGCCTTGTTTAGATTGAGGGTGGTTTGTAATGCGGTTCGATGTGTAGGTAGTGTGTGCAGTAGATGAGTGTGTGTTCTGGGATTTCTAGTTGTTTGCAGTGTGGACAGTTACCTGTAGTATGTTTTTTTAATTTTTTTTAGGTGGTTATTTAGGTTGGTGTGTCCTGTTTGGAGTTTAGTGACTACTCTGTCGATTTTTTTTGATGGATGGTGAATTTTTGGTTTGGTTAGTGGTTTGCTGAGTACTTTTTTGATTTGGCTATTTGAGTTTAGATATAGGTTATGCCATTTTTTGGTGATATTTTGCTTATTTACACTTTTAATTTCTGATTTTGAGATGGGTAAGTTAAAGCTTATTTCTGGGATTTTGAGGGATAGTTTAGCTGCCTTATCGGCGTTTTCATTACCGTATATTCCTACGTGGGCGGGTATCCACAAGAAGGTTATTTGTTTGCCTGCGTTAGTTAGGTCGTTGGAGCTTTTAAGTATTAGATTTATTAATTTAGGTCGGTTTTTGGTATTTTTGTTTTGGAGGGCTTGCAGTCCACTTAGGGAGTCGGTAAGTATTAGGATTTTATTGTGGTTTTTGGATTCTTGACTATGGAGGGCTGAGGCCATGTCGGAGTCGGAAGGATTGTGTGGTTTTAGTTGGTTGTGTGGTATGGACTCCGAAACCTGTGTGTTTGGAGGTCGGATCTGAAGATCCGTCCGTGTAAATGTGACACCAATTTGGCCAATTTTCATGAATGTATGCTAGTGTGGTGGTTTTAGCTATGTTTGGGTCGGTTTGTTTATTTATTTGGCTAGCTAGTGTTGTGTCTATTTTGGGTATTTTAAGTTTAGGGGTGAAGATATTTGATTGTTTGCAGTTTTGTTTAAGATTTTTAATTTGGTGTTCATTTAGGTAGTTTGTTATTCTTTGGGATATTGGGGTAAGTAAGGGGTGTTTACGAGCTAGAGCTTGTTTTTTTGGGCTGATATTTTGGTTTATTAAGTTTTGGATTAGAGGGTTTGATTTGGATGCGGCCCAGAAATTTAAGCTTAGCTGTTCCCTGCGTAGACTTAGTTGCATTTCTCCTGTTAAGGCCCGAAGTGAAGTGTAGGAGGTGCCATGTTGGGTGCTTGTAATTAGTTTGAGAGCCTGATATTGTATTGAGTCAAGTTTTTTAGATAGAGAGTTGTTTAGGGTGTTGTATATGGCGCAGCCGTAGTCTAGTTTTGATCTAATTAGTGATATGTAGAGGGAGAGGAGGGTATCTTTGGAGGCTCAAAGATATATCTGTCTGTCTGTTTGTAAATATAGCTTGATAGTGATTCATAAACACATGATCATGACATAGTCGGAATTGTACAAACGGGAGCATCTCAGTTCACGTCCAGACTGAGTCCCCAAGGGGCACGTGAACTTACCTCAGCCCGATTAAGTGTAATTATTATTAAGGTGACCATCGTTCACGCTAAACCATAAAATAAATAGAAAATGATGTGTTCAACGTTGTGTGTGTTCAGTGTCATGCGTATGACACACAAGCTTGTACAATGTCAGCTACACCATTGGGTGTAATGGTCTATTCCCTTTATGGCTTTAATTTGTTTCACAAGGTTACAAAATATGTTGGGGTCCTCTTAGCTATTGCATAAGGTCACGTTTACCTTCGGATGTTTGTTTGCTTTATGAAAAAATAGATTTGTGGTGCAACAATTTTATCCAAAAAGTTCGAGGTGGAAATGTTGTTGTATTTTGTATGTGGTATTTTATATAATAATTTTATCAATAAGGATTTACATTTTTTAATCAGAATTTCGAAATTTTTATAGTTATACTATGGATTCCTAGCTATACATATCCCTGGAAATGTCTCAGCTGACCTAGCTGCCAAACAAGTAGTAACTTGTAACACTTCAAGCCTCGTCTGAACTTAATCCAAATCAAAATAACAACTTTTGAAAATTTCGAAATTCGTATTAAAAAATGTAAATCCTTTGGGATAAAGACCACATACCAAATACCACAACTTTTCCACGAAACAATTAGACCCAATAATTATAAGGATCCATAGTGGCGCCTAAACTCGAACTCTAAACAGAGTCACTCTTATTTACTTAAACCAAAGTTTCAGAAAGTTAACGACATCTCTCTTGTCTTCTGGATAGTTTCTGTTACTCTGAATCTCTATACATATATCTAAATATATAACAGATGAGGATGTTGCATTGGTTTCATTTATTTGTATTTCCTTTGAGTAAATCAGAGGAATGGAATTGGCTATTTAATGGTTATTGAACAATATCAAATCATTCAGATAACAAATGTTTGAGTGGAGCCTACCCGTCACGACACATATCTGCAATGATATGTCTGGCGTTCGACATTAAGGGATTAAAACAAGGACTGGTCGGCTCGGAGTCAGTATACTGTGTCTGAGTTTGGTATTCACGTTAAACTGCGGCATGGTGGGAATCGAACCCGGGTTTTCGCCGTGATGAGAGAACGGTTTAACCACTAGGCTACCCTGCCGCCCCGATCTCGTGATAATGTGTCATAGGTCGCATCCCAAGGTGAAACAAAATCATTCACACTCATTCATTTTCTAGCCAGGCCCTGACTAGGCTCAAATGGAAATTATGCATATGATAAAATCAAGTGCACAGTTTCGCGTTGAGCCTAATATTGAGTTACAACCATCACAAAGTGGCTGGTACAAAACAACAAATCCGTTAAGGCAGCAGGTTACACTTAGGTTTATTTCCTTGTATTTATCATTTCCAGAACCTCGTTATGTTAACTTGCTTTATGTTGGCACAAAGTTGAATGTCGTTCCTGCAAATAAAATAAGTATATTTTATGAATAATACTTACATTGGTTCTTTTCACAGTCAATAATATCGATACACTACCTCTGTAGACCCGTTAAGATCCGGTGTAAATAAGTCTTCAGCAACCCATATACCTTCCGTAAAAGGCGACTATGTTTGTCGTAAGGGGCGACTAACGGGATCGGGTGTATAGGCTCGCTGACTTGGTTGATGCATGTCACCGTATCCCAATAGCGTGGATCGATGCTCATGATCTCAATCACTGGATTGTCTGTTCCAGACTCGATTATTTACAGACAACCGTCATATAGCTCGAATATTGCTGCGTGCGGCGTTAAATAACAAACAAACAACCTAACACTTCCTCTGCAACGATGTGTAAGTCTTTATGCCTAGTTTATATAACAGACTAATTCATAGCTTGTCCTTTACATTAATATATGAGCTTCGTGTAATAAATTGATACATTAGTCAGTGTCATTTTATTAAATACAATTAAGAGAAATACGCTTCATATCGCTTGACACACATGTATATCTGATACTGTCACCCGTCCACTGAAAGAACGTGAATTAAATGCGCTTCATGCTGGTTTTGAGCAGTGTACAACCCATTTTCATAAGTATCGCTGTCATAAAAACTAATGATTTGAATATCATCTGGTACCAGTATCTAGCGAACAAATTTTTAACATTGACAAGTATATCGTAAAGCATAACCAAAGAGTTTTGAGAAATTACGGATTTGCTGACCTGAATGAATAAATGGTGCAAGTCCCGAGCCTTTATTCATTCACGAGGTACAGATAATCCAAAAATCCTAGTTACGATAGGATGTTCTATATAATACTGTTTGACATCTTAGGAGAAAATGAAGAAATGTGTATAAACGTGTCAACCCTTCAGATAAATTTCACTAAAGAAGCCAGCGTATTGTTAAAATGACGTAATATAATCAATTTGTGACTTTATGAACAATAAGTACGTCATATCGTGTTTGTCTCAACAATGAAGCAGTGTGTCCTCATATAGTTTAAACTGGCAATTCAGTATTGAGAATATGGACGATGAACATTGGCTTACGCTCCCGTAGTGCCAGTTGATGTATCTACACGAACGAAGGCACTGGGTTGGATTGACTCAAAGCTGTCGGCATTGTCACAGATGATTCTAGACAGCGAGGCCTTCTTCAATTGATCGATTTGAGCTGTAATGGAATGACCTCTTTATAAACGTTGCATTTGCAGAAATGGATTGAGAGTGAGTGGAATGGTTTTTTATCGCGCCCTCAGCAACATTCCAGCAGTGTCACTACGGGGGACGTCAGGCATGGGCTTGGACAGTGTGCCCACCTAGGGACTCGAACCCGGGGCTTCAGCCTGACAAGCGATTCTTTCACCACAAGCTAGCCACCAGCAACACCTAAATACATGCATGTGTTTCATAGCTATGTTACATTTCAGCTTCTTATCTTCAAAGCTGTACTTGGTCCAAATTCACATATTAATATATGCTCCACTCGACCAATAAATATATAATACATATTGCACAGATTATATAAAGAAGCATTTTATTATATAAGTAGTATAATTAGTCGGTCTGATGAATTTACATACACAAATATTAACTTACAGGTGTTGAAAATACAAATAGAAACTGCTTACAGTCTGTGAATCCAGTGACTGTGTTTGTTGATTCGAACCAGAATCTGTCGCCATCCCTGAGCTTCTTGAACTGTTCACCAATTAGACATGTGTATGTTTTTCCTACAGCTGCTGGTAAATTGGGAATCTCGGCGATACCCCCACTGTACAGGTCAATATCATCCACGCTTTCACTGTGAAGAGAAACACGGACTATATGTATACGGAAACGGACAGACTATCATCCTCAAGTCTGGATTTGGCATTTAGAAGTGATGCAGATGGGGGGAATTTATGGATGTCAACTTCTTTATTTTGAGGAACGCAAGGTTTCGGGGGTAAATGCTTACTTCTGCATCAGTTGAATGAATGGTAGGATGCAGAGAGCATATATGCATGTATGTACATGTAACAGACAAGAAAAATAATAGGATATTAACAAAGGTGGAAACTCAACAAGGGAAGCCAATAGTTTATTAGCGATGTTTGGTGATGAGCAATTGGCGAAAGGAAGCCAGGAGTTTTATTAGCACTGATTGGTAATAAGCAATGAACATGTTGAAGTCATCTGGGTTAATTTGCCTTGGTAGGGGGCTAATGAGACAGATACATGGTGGCACTGATAATAAAATCAATAAGTCTCAAGCGCTGGCAGATATGTTCTCTGGTTACGATTCGTGACTGGCTTGAAGTTGACATTCATAAATTATCTCTCTTAAACTATCAACCTGTCCAACAATGAAATTATACATCATATTCCCCTGAAAAATCGCTTCGAATAACTTAAGCGAAATATATTTCTTTTGATAGTATGAAACACTCATTGACTTAAACTTGGGCGCACGATCAGCGTTAAGTGATCACTGTTTGTTTATAATGATACAAATAGTCTATAATACAGTGCTCCTTAACTAGAGAACTCACCAAATACGCCCAACTTATCATATTACTACACCTACTATGTATCAGCCAGATCCTGAGCCTGAATCAATCCAAAGTCCGTCCCATCTGCGTAGGATGTGATCTTGGATAAACCACAGTGTTCTCTCCATTCGTTGTAAGATGGAAGACCATGTTCTCTTCCTCTCTGTATGTTCAACGCCACGACGTCAAACCCATCCTTGGCTGCCGAATCCGTCTCGAACATTCGGTCTCTCATTCCATCAACGTACCATGCATCGGCACGTTCTGCAGGAGCGTCCACGAAACTACCGACGACGTCATTGAGATTGTTGATGAGGTACTTGGTCCTCTTGAAGAGGTCTCCGGTGTCTACGACATCAGAACCTATGGTAAAGTTTTCTGGAACCATCGAGTGCCCAAATCTGAAACCGGCTGTCGAGAAGACGTTGCTAAGAGTCGGGTCAAGGGTATCGTCATAGTTGTAGTTGTCGAAACCGAGGTCGTAAGTTGACATGCCATCCTGGCCAAGGATATCAGGTAACCATTCCCCGAATGTGATAACCTATCAGACAAAGGTAAATGCAAGAAATAAACAACGGCCACGAGTTGTTTAATTCTTATATGAGATATCAACATCATGTACAGCCTCTTTTAGGATGTAAATAAACTTACAAGCTTTAAAAAAATATTTACCCGTATTTAAATAATGATGACTCCCTGGGCACAATTCGACCTCGGCAATGTCGGACAAGTCCATTTTATGAACAGGGGCGTAAAGTTTGGTATTTCCCGGATTTTTCACAACATGTTATGACGATTATCTATACCTTTTCTTCCAATACAGAGTGTCATATCTCTTTTGGGTGGATCGTTCGGCCATCGCGTTTAACTGCGTTGCCGAGCTAAATCTCACCCTCTCAAAAATAACGTCGTCCAATTTACGACGCCATCAAGTTGCGAGCATATGTTCTAATCTCCAGAAATGACGTCATATATGTGAATATAATAAATAATAAAAATTAAAATTGAAAAATCATGTTATATATTCAGTAAAACCTCACTTATTTAATTACTTTTATAAAACGACAATGAGACAAAACGTTTTTAGGTATCGGGAATACCATACATTTAATAGCAACAATTAATAGAAGTCTTCTAGTTGCGAGGTCGCAATTTGATTGGTTGTTGGTTTCAAGCTCACAAGCGAGAGAACATGTGCTGCAATGTGACAAGATAGATGGATATGATGACGTCACTTCCGAAACGAAACTTTCGTGGTCAACGGGTCCAGGGAATTCTTCATTATATTATGGACATAGTATACACTAGAATCTTAAGGACAAAGCATACACCAGAATCCCATGGACATCGTATACACCAGAAACTCAAGGACATAGTATACACCAGAACTCAAGGACATAGTATACACCAGAATCCCAGGACATCGCATACACAACAAACTCAAGGACACCATAGTATACACCAAAACTAATGGACATAGTATACACCAGAGTGAGTGAGTATGGTTTTACGCCGCTTTAGCAATATTCCAGCAATATCACGGCGGGGGACACCACAAATGGGCTTCACACATTTTACCCATGTCGGGAATCGAAACCGGGTCTTCGGCGTGACGAGCGAACGCTTTAACTACTAGACTACCCGACCGCCCCGTATACACCAAAAATTTAAGGACATGGTATACACCAGAGCTCATGGACATCGTATACACCATAACACAAGGACATGGAAAACACCAGAACTAATGGACATAGTATACACCAGAACTCATGGACATAGTATACACCAGAAACACATAGACATAGTATACACCAGAAATCATGGACATAGTATACAACAGAAATCATGGACATAATATGCACCAGAAACTCATGGACATTGTATACACCAGAACTCAAGGACATAGTATGCACCAGAAACTCATGGATATCGTATACACCAGGAACTCAAGGACATGGTATCCACCAGAACTCATGGACACAGTATACACCAGAATCCCAGGCCATCGTATACACCACCAACTCAAGGACACCATAGTATACACCATTACTAATGGACATAGTATACACCAGAAATTTAAGGACATGGTATACACCAGAACTGATGGACATCGTATACACAAGAAATTTAAGGACATGGTATACAACAGAACTGATGGACATCGTATACACCAGAACTCAAGGACATGATATACACAAGAACTAAAGGATATCGTATACACCAGAACTAATGGATATCGTATACACCAAAACTCATGGACATAGTATACACCAGAACACAAGGACATAGTTACACCAGAACACAAGGACATAGTATACACCAGAACACAAGGACATAGTATACACTAGAACACAAGGACATAGTATACACCAGAACACAAGGACACGGTAAACACAAGAACACATGGACACAGTATACACCAGAACACAAGGACATAGTATACACCAGAACTCAAGGATTTCATTAGGCTGCGACGTCGTGGTGTGAATGACGCTCAACACGGCGTCACATCCTCTGCCAAATATGTTCCTGTGTCCTATATTTGCCATTGCTTTATCCTCGGCATCGCATGGCGTTCAGAGTGTTGACTTGGAACAAGCACGGATGTCAACACCAGTGCGATCTTATTAAAATCATATCTAAGTTCTCGCTGACGCTAAACAAAGATCTGAGGACATCCCATTACGGGTCACGTCAGAACGACCTTTCGCGAACTTTGACCGGCCACTGAAATGACTAACAAGAAGTCGACATCAGCCAATCTTTAAAGCAGCTTTCTCGAGCTTTACGGCACTCGTTTCAACCTGGCGACTTCCATTTCCGACTACGCTTGAAAAATATGTTGACGCAGTTCTCGATTAAAAGTTTGAAAACTGATCAAACGAACATTCCGGAATGTCTAATATATGGTTGAGATTGCAATTGTATAGCAGTGCTTCTCACATATACTGTGCAACGCCTCCTCCGTTCAAATGTTTATCCCACGGAAGCGAGAGATAGACGAGAGTTTTGACGGAATGTCCTCAGTACTTTGTTTAGCGATAGCGAGAACAAAGATCTGATTTGAATGAGATTGACACCAGCTTCAAGTATTTACATTCTGCACTATCATTCACTGACCTGTAATTCAGCGATAACGATTTTTCTAGCCTCCTGGAAGAGTGTTTCATCATCCCAAAGAGGTTGGACCGTCTTCAGAACCCCCGCAACACGATTGTGCTCTCTCAAGAACAGGGTGTGCAGCAGCGACAGGCCCGGGAACACATTCACTCGGGAGTCACCTAGTGGTGTATGTCAGTACTATTAACAATATGGAACATGTTTAACATTAGTTTCACCTCTAATATTTTTTGAATGTGAAGTTTACACAATATAGGCTTTTCCATTGGACGAGAGGTCGGTCATATGACCGCAAAACTGACGTTTACGAGATTGTGTTGCTGAAATGACGTAAACACTGAAGGACTACTTCCTCATTCATATTGAGCCCTGGGAATTCCTTCGTATAGAAAAAACAAAAGCATTGTTTCTAATCATTTAAACTCTTTAATCTTGAACTTGGGCATACATTGGGATACGAGTTGAGGTGAAATGGGGTTTAACGTCGCGTCCAAGATTATTGCACTTATATAGCGACGTGCATGCACGTGTGTGTGCGTGTGGCTGCTTGTTCTAGTCCGTGCTGATGCCGATTTAGAGTGCTAGCCCACTGAGATACGATGCCGCAGTTTAACATGAATACCCCACTCAGAGACAGTATACTGACTCCGAGACGACCAGTTCTCGTTTTAGCCCCTTAATGGCGAGCGCCAGACAGAGTAACAACCATCTTTTAACGTCTTTTGGTATGACGCGGCCGAGGATCGAACCCCGGACCTTCCGCTCTCCGGGCGGACGCTCTACCACTAGCCCACGGAGGCGGTCCATTGGGATACGACAGAGACTTTGACTGCATGTCCGTTCAAGAACATCCTCGCTACGACCCATCCCAGTGAACAATACGAAGAAATGCACATCCAAACTATAGACTCCATATATACAAATATTCTTTTGAAATGGCTTTCGTTCCTGTATCAGAGTTTGCACGTACCTGCTTTAAAACAGAAGTTGCTTGAATCAGAAGTGTCCAGGAAACAATCGTCGTCATCTCCCTTTGGTAGGAGATTCCCATCGCTCACTTGCATCAAGCCAGCTGGAAGAGACAAAATGAATAACGCGACATCCTTTTCATAATCATAAGAAATATCTGCTAAAATCAGTGTCTACTTTACTATTGCGACTAAAAATTAAAATAAAAAATATATGTGTTTATGAATCGGTTATACCCTGTGTTCGCGAGAAGGTGGCACCCGTCTCAAACACATGCAAAGGCAAGGCAAGTCTTCGCCCGAACAAACACGAAACATAGGGAATTGCATCGAACATCATTTTGTCCCTGATGCGTAACATTTCTATGTCTTCCATAGCTCTACTTTAAAACTTTCTGAAAGCTTAATTTAACTAGGGCCTTGAATGTTGTAAAGTGGAGGAACTATTGTGGTGTTGTGTAATGCATTTGAAATCTTCGTATATAGAGCATGCTCAATTGTGCCTCTAAATTAGTAAAATGTAGACACCGGAGACTGAAGCTGCTGGAATATTACTCGACATAGAGAAAAAGCGAACGTTTCGAAAGTTGAAATCACTTCTCTTGTCATACGGTCTTGTGAATTATATCTTATTGTAAGGGTCATCAGCAAATACAGAGCAAATTAGGTGCAAGTAAAAGCTTGATGAACATTTATGAACTGTAGTTATACCTACCTGTCATATGGTAAGAATACAGACGTGGGTTAGATGCTCTTATTTAATATCTCATTGAAGGAGAGAGTGAGTGAGTTGGTTTTTACCACAAGTTCAGTCATATCACTGCGGTCGGCTTGACATTGGGTCATCCCTCAATGACGCAGGTGGGACTTGGGCGTTCGTCAGTTGCCTTGGTGACAAACCAAACCTAACACTACTGCACGTACGATGTCATGTAGTAATAACGACCAGGAAAAATGGATGATGGTTTGTATAACGCGTGATCTAGAAAAGTGTGAGAAAGATCCTCGGTAAGAGAATGACGTTGTTTGAACGGCACATACCTCCTGACGTTTTATCACGGAGTTCATCAGTCTCCTCAGTGGTGATGCCATAGATTTGAGAGCCATCGATGAAGGCAGACACTTCGTTGTATTGTTGTCTGGGATCTAAATTAAAATAATTTCGGATATGAACATGACAAACGTGACCTGTATCACGCCTGTGCAGTCTGGACCCGTGAAGATCCGGGTACATACAATAGGTCTTCAGCAACCCATTCTTCCCGTAAAAGGCGACACTCTTGTCGTAAGAGGCGACTAACGGGATCGGGTGGTCAGGCTCGCTGACTTGGTTGATGAGTGTCATCGTATCCCAATTGCGAAGATCGATGCTCATGATCTCAATCACTGGCTTGTCTGGTCCAAACTCGATTATTACAGACCGCCGTCATACAGCTGGAATATTGCTGAGTGCGCTTTAAACAACAAACAAACAAACAAACAACCCAGAAGGCATATTGACAACAAAGGCACGGTTCAGGTGACACACAGACGGATGAGGCCTATGAAAGCTGTCCTATCAATACGTATCAACATAATGCAATATGTATGAGGGCACAAACTTATCATACAAAAACAAGACAAATTAAAGGAAAAGACGAAAATAAAATAAACACATTGTCTCAACTTGTTTTAATTTACGATTTCCTCCATTTATATGTAAACAGTCAGTGACCTTTGTTCCTTTCTTCTGTTTCTATTTATTTGGGACAAAAGGCCACGTTAATCCAAACGTAAATAGTAGACGAACGTGATAAAAACGAAGTGGCGTTATTTCTTGTAATGAAATTGTATATAAACTTGGTTATCATGTAATGGGGAGCTTTATCAGCCAGATAAAGTCAGTCGATACAAATATGCGCCCCTTGTGGTCATTAAAACATAAATATGAGAATATATAAGGTCAGCTAGGTACTTCTTCAGTGTTTGCAAACAAACAAACTGCGTCGCTCTTGTCTGACACCGATCGAGTCACTTGACCATCCGGGTTCTGTACAAGGTCATGGTTTGCTGAATACAATGTTTATTTCTAATATGTGATACTCGCCATCCCAAAACACGTTGCTTGCAGAGATAAGTAGATAAACTTACTTGTTGTGCTTGTGCCTGTTCCCGAGGCCGCCTCGGATCTCACGGAGTTCATGCACGTCTCATCGGGAAAGTACGGATCACCATTCGGAATGTAGATAGGGTTACACGGGGAGTCTATGCTGAGAATTAGAAGACATTTACATAAAACCTTCATATGGTGTTATTGGTTAACTTTATACCCCGTCCACAAGAACCTCTGTGTGTGTGTATATGTGCCCACTTGTGTTAATATGCACACGTCATGATGCTTGTGATATGAAGGCGTTTACTCTTTTGTGTATAATTGCGCTGTAGGTATTATGTAGTCTTGTGAACGTTTATGCCAACGCCATAGGATGATCTTAATTAATTTATTTGTTGATACCACACAACTTGTCAACAGTTCTCTATTCTGGACTTGACGCTATTCAGAATACAGCATCTTCCTGAGGCAAGGGCGTTACGGACTATAAATGTCCACTTTCCACACATGAAAACTGGACTTTCATAGTCAGCTAACTCCCTTGCCTCAGGAAGATGGTATACAGCAGTACAAACTTTTATGCGAGCGTCCAGAGGTGGGCGTACAGTGTTTTCTTTAGGTTTCAAGGAGCCAAGAAGTTTTGGACAGATTAAATCAAACACATGTTGGTGTATTCAAAGATTAACTCTCTTCTCATTCGACTTTGACTTCAAAACAACCTTTTCGTGAATAGACTGATGGATAGGTGTGCCTTAGACCATTCATATACTTTATGTGCACACTTTAGTTAATTACCTATACACATGTATACATACATTTTCCCGAGGCAAGAGAGTTAACTGACTATAAAAGTCCAGTTTCCACCCTTGCCGAACAGGGCTGGGATTATGGAGTTAGATTTGGCTGGACTAACGAGTCTATGCAGGATTTGCAAAGCATGTGCATCTCCAACTCGTTGTCAACAGATATTTGCCAAATCTTTTCATGATTTTAATCAAGGTGCTTGATTTGTTGTACTTCGCAAAGTAAGAACCGTTTTATCACAAAATAGATCTTGAAGGTCGATCAGATCGTCTTGACTGGGCGGAGCCATTTTGTTTGAAGCAAATGCATGTGGTACGAGAGGTGGAATCTGATTGGTCCATATTTGAGAGGCGTAGAATGGACATAACTCGTAATAGCCACTGGTGACGCTACGATCTAGCCCAGGAATTCCAGCCTTGTTCGGCAAGGGTGGAAACTGGACCTTTAAAGTCAGTTAATGCTCTTGCCTCGGGAAGATGGTATACATAAGGCCAATGTGGGTCAATGTCGTGCTCGTGAACGGGGTATACTATGTAGGCATTTAGGTAAACTGAAAAGAATTTTGTTGCGAATGTCAGTTTTCAACCTATATGGGGTTGTGGCCTAAAGCTACCGCCGCAGAGGTGCATGCCAAATGTTTTCATTGGCTGACATGTAGACTTGAAGAAAAAGAGAAAGAGGAAGACGAAGAAGAGGAAGAGGGAGGAGAGGAGGGGGAAGAAGATGAAGAAGAGAAAGACGAAGAAGGGGAAGAAGAGGAGGAGGAAGAAGGGGAAGAAGGAGGAGAATAGGAAAAAGAAAAAGAGGAGGAGGAAGAAGACGAGGAGAAGATGAGGAGGAGGAGGAAGAAGAAGAGGAAGAAGAAGGAGAAGAGGAAAAAGAAGAGGGGAGTGGAAGAAGAGGAAGAAGAAGAAGAGGAGAAGGAAGACGAGGGAGAAGGAGAATAGGAAAGGAAGAAGAAGAGAAGAAAGAAGAGGAAAAAGAAGAAGAGGAGAAAGGGGAAGAAGAGGGAGAAGAAGGAGAATAGGAAAAGAGAAGAGGGGAGAAAGGGGAAGAAGAAGGAGAAGAATGAGAATAGGAAAAGAAGAAGAAGAGGAGAAAGGGGAAGAAGAGGGGGAAGAATGAGAATAGGAAAAGAAGAAGAAGAGGAGAAAGGGGAAGAAGAGGGAGAAGAAGGAGAATAGGAAAAGAAGAAGAAGAGAAGAAAGAAGAGGAAAAAGAAGAAGAAGAGGAGAAAGGGAAGAAGAGGGAGAAGAAGGAGAATAGGAAAAGAAGAAGAAGAGAAGAAAGAAGAGGAAAAAGAAGAAGAGGAGAAAGTGAAGAAGAGGGAGAAGAAGGAGAATAGGAAAAGAAGAAGAAGAAAAGAAAGAAGAGGGAAAAGAAGAAGAAGAGGAGAAAGGGAAGAAGAGGGAGAAGAAGGAGAATAGGAAAAGAAGAAGAAGAGGAGAAAGGGGAAGAAGAGGGAGAAGAAGGAGAATGAGAAAAGAAGAAGTAGAGGAGAAAGGGGAAGAAGAGGGAGAAGAAGGAGAATAGGAAAAGAAGAAGAAGAGAAGAAAGAAGAGGAAAAAGAAGAAGAAGAGGAGAAAGGGGAAGAAGAGGAAGAAAAAGAGTAGGAAGAAGGAGAAAAGGAAAAGAGAAGTGGAGGAAGAAGAAGATGGAAGAAGAAGAAAATTATTATATTAGAGTGTCACACAGTATGGCCTATGAGCCACCTGTACGTATACAGTTTTTGCTATTTCTATTATTTCTTCAACATCAAAAAATCATTGCAAATTTTACTGAATGTGTGAAATGTCACCTTTGATCTTGACACTGTGAACAATTAAAATAACAATTAAGAATCTGTAACTAGCTTATAATGACAAACTACTTGTTTTTTCCCTCCATCCCATTCCACGCAACGAATGCGTGTCAGAGATTAATATCCTGGGTAGACAACTGAAGGCATCTTCAATGTTTTTAATTATAAGACATTAACTGACAGAAGTTGTGGACACGTTAATCAAACGCATGAACGGGCAGACTGGGCGCCAGGCCGATCATTATCGTTGCGCAGCGCGTCAAACACCGGTAACAACTTTCAATTCCAGTGCGATTTTTTTTTCGTTTTGAGACGTTTTCGTATGTCATTTGTTGACGCTATTTTCGTTTTTCCAATATAAATTGGGTGATGCATTTGTAATTAAGCATGTCCTAAAGTATTAAAATCTGAAAATACTTTGAGTATAGTTGTCCTTTAAAAGAAATGAATATGAAAGTCAGTTCAAAATGCAAATAGGACTTACTTGCTTTCAACTGAATCGGGCCATGTGCAACAATCAATATCCCCGCCGTTATCTGTCACAGAAGAACACTGAATGAACACAGCATATACATTGTTCATATGCAGTTTAACATATGTGTTATGACGCTACTATACATGCTCATGATTGTAAACAGAATTAACAATTATCATCATCATCATCATCATCATCATCATCATCATAATAATAATAATAATTAACCGAAGGCTCTTCTTTGCTAAATTTGCTTTCACATCTTTTCTTTCCAACTTTTTTGGAGTTTCAAGTTAACAATCATCCTTGACAATACAGTGCAGCAATCGTGTGAGATGCTTAATAACTGTAATTATTAATATGAAAACACGGTGAGACGAACTGGTCATCACTCTACGGACCTGTTATCACTGGAGTTCCGGTAATGTCGTGGTCAATGAACTGCCCCCACTGCATCAGCATGATGGAGTTCTTGTTGGAGATAAAGCTTAACTCGAAATGAACTTGGTTACTGATGGTCCGGGGGTGAGGCAAAGTGGAGCCACTGGTAGCAAGCGTCCGGGGGGTTCCAATACCTGCAGTCAAAACAGATCATACCCATCAACCCCAGTTAGACACAGGAGTGTTGGGGATGCGAAGAGAGACATTTGCAATATACACATGGACTGATTCCGGGCATATACCGAGGCTGCCGTCACTGCTCGTATGTTCAGAATACTGCTAGTTGGGCAATTAACACGTATACCTTTTGTTCCAGCACGCAATATCCATAACGTCTGCCCAAAACTGGATCGTGACATTTATTCATATTTTTTTTCAAACGGTTTCTTCATTTTATCCGCACCGTGAGGATTCCGGCTTATGATTTACCCCCATCAAGTTATACTGGTCGTAATTAAGCTTATTGTTTCAAATTGCTTATTTGTTGTTTAACGCCGCACTCCAGCAGTATTCCAGGAGTCTGTAAATAATCGAGTCTAGATCAGACAATCCAGTGATTGACATCATGAAATCGATCCAAGCAATTGGGAAACGATTCTATGCATCAACCAAGTCAGCAAGCCTGACCACCTGATCCCGTTAGTCGCCTCTTACGACAAGCATCCAACGGGATCGGGTTTTGAGGCTCGCTGACTTGGTTGATGCACATAATTAAGAGGTGGCTTAATTGGTGATTTGGTCTGTTTCGGTAACATGGTTGATTGCTTGTCATCTGACCCCAACGGCATGGATCGTTGCTCATAATATCAATCACTTGATTGTCTGGACCAAAATATATTATTAACAGGCCGCCGTCCTATACCTGGACTATTGCGGCATTTAACAAGCACATGCATTCATTTTTTGCATTTTTAAATGTGTTTATTCCGTTGGAACTTTTGTCTTAATATTATTTAATGGTGCACTCCTTATGTGAATCATCACTTACCGTCAGCGTACACGGAGGGGAGTAGCCGAGAGAGTTGGGCTCCCGCCGCCCCCCACTGGGAGTTGTTCAAGTTGTTGCAACTCCCGTCAGGTGTTCGGTAGGCCTCTGTGTCGTCACAGGCCGAAGCTCGTCTGCAACAGAACCATTCAACATATGGCGGATAGTGTGATGGTTGATATGCCCCATTCGTTGAATTAAATATAATAATAACAATAATAATAGTCCATTTATATGGCTCTGTACTCCATGCATAAGCATGCTCTTAGCACTTAGACAGTTATTACCCCGGTAAAAGGATCAGTGTGCCCTCAACAACCATTTTCAGCTCCCTGGGGAGTATACAACGGCATAATTCGACACATAAGCAAATGAGGTCACCTTGCCGGAACTACTTTTACAATAAAGTGTTTGATAGGCATTACTTAGAGGTTGACGGATGACAAAGTAGACACAATTTATGGATAGCAACTGCTCTATGTCTGTAAAGGCGACGTTTCGCTATAGATCCTTAAACCGCTGTCCAGCAAGGTTGAAACAACGGTATTGCTTGACAACCGTAGAAGGATCTGTGCCGAAAGGTCTCCTTTACCTTAATTACAGAAGTTGTTATCCATAAATTGTGTCTACTTTACCTTTTCAGTGTCTACTTGCTTAACTATTGCGTTCTCGATCAGTTCACATGTATGTAGTTGTTGTCCCTTATGGTGGTGTTTCTGTACACGAAGTTAACCTTAAATCATTAGACACTATATAATTCACTCTAGAACTGTATCTATTCAGGGTTTCTAAAGTAACTTCATTGACTGAATTTATGTCATAAACAGCGATTTGTAAGAATGACACACTAATAATGAGGAGAGTGTTACAATTGTATTTCTGTCTCGTGAATATAATATATAGGATTAACAAATATGTATTCCGCTCCGGAGGCTCGCTATACTCCAAATATCGATGCTCGATGAAGACTATACCAATAGACGTACTTGTCGTTACCCTTCCTTAAAGGTTCGTCATTTAGGTGATAGAACAAGAACGCGGGAGTCGCTATACTGTGGTGTATCCAGGGTACTTTGGGGCACACACACATACACGTCACTATATACGTACACTGTTCTTCAACGCGACGTTAAACCCCATTTCACTACCATTAACAGATTATATATTTGATGATGGGTGTGTTCACTGAAAGATGGAGTACACACACAAAACATGAAGCAAGCTATACAAAGTGTGTATATATCGAGTGCGGGTGTTCTTTTCTGCTTCTTTGAACTATGACCGATCAGTTGGCCCTATTGCCTGTAACCTGCCTCAGCTGGTCATCCACGCTGTACTTAATCCAAATCATCATTAAAATGTACGTTGATATTATGACAAGAAACTACTGTGATTGAAGCATGCGCATCATACGTCCCATTCTACGTGGAAAGACATGAAGCAAAATGTGTCCGGATTAACCAGGTCCGAATTACTGAATCAGGGGGTGAAGTGCCGCCTCTATGTCCGGGGTGTCGGGATAAATGAGGTTAACTCTGTGTTGAATACATACCTGTTTCTGTGGACGGACTGCGTGTATTTCCCCCCCCCCCTTCGAGGACCGGGACAGATGGGCGCATGGCGACCTGCTCCCCCCTCCCTCTGAACAGAAAA